GCTCAAACCGCAGAAGTCGAGGAGTCTGTCAATCCTTAAGGGCAGGGTGTCGGCAACCAGTTTTACGGTGGCAAGGAACAAGATCCCTACGGTTCTGGATGAACCGGTGAAGAGCCTCGGTCGCGTTTACGATTCGAAGTTATCTGATAGAGCGGAGGTCCGGCGAATACACGAGTCACTGGCTACAGGCCTGCTCGCGATCGAGCGATGCAGGCTGATCGGAAAATTCAAGGTATGGTGTCTCCAATTCATGTTGATTCCAAAGCTCCTATGGCCACTGCTAGTCTACGAGGTGACGATGACTGCAGTGGAAACCATGGAGAAGAAAATCAACACAGCCTTGAGAAAGTGGATTGGTGCACCGCCTTGTCTGACCGACGTGGCTCTGTATTGCAAGCAGGCTAAGCTGGTACTTCCGTTCAAATCGATAACCGAAGAGTTTAAAGTCGGCAAGGTAAGGCTCGCCATGCTTTTGCGCGAGTCTTCAGACCCAAATGTCATCGCTGTCCAGCCCGCTCTAAAGACTGGTCAGAAGTGGAGAGTCCTCGATGCGATAGAATCTGTCCAGAATGCACTAAAATTGAAGGAGGTAATGGGATACACTCAAACCGACCGTCGAGGCCTAGGGCACGGGATGGTCAATTGGTGGTCAAAGGCCTCAGCCAAAGAGCGCCGAGACATGGTAATACAAACGGTGAGGGACAACGAAAACGAGGTTCGGGTTCAGAAAGCAGCCCAGCAGTCGCAGCAGGGCCATTGGGTCAGCCTGGAGAGCGCATTGCCAAGAATACTCACATGGGGTGAGATCTGGCGGATGACCCCGCTGCGACTGAGCTTTATCGTTCGTGCGGCGTACGATGTATTACCGTCTGGTGTTAACATGGTTAAATGGTCTGCGACTAACGATCCGACTTGCCTGTTGTGTAAATCGAAGCAGACTCTAGAACACGTCCTGTCCGCGTGCAGGAAAGCCCTAGGTGAAGGCCGATATACCTGGCGACACAACAAGGTGCTAAAAGAGTTAGCAGCCGTTGTTGACCAGGCTAGAATGAGGGCTAACGCCAGAGCCAGTTCTAGTATCGTCCCCATTCGTTTCCTCAAGTCTGGGCAGGTTCCAAAAGGTAAGGTCAACAAAAACTCATTCGCTCCATCTGTGCTAGACTCTGCGAGGGACTGGTTACTGGCGGTTGATCTGCCGGGCCATGAACGGTACCCCGAGTTGATCCGTAAGACCGGCCTGCGACCGGACATAGTTCTCCACTCTGCGCAAAAACGGCAGCTCATCCTGATTGAGTTGACTGTCCCGTTTGAGTCGCGTATGGAGGAGAATCACATGTATAAGCTCGAGAAATACATTTATTTAGCAGCCGGTCTGAGGAGAAACGAGGCGTACACGGTACGGGTCTTTGCCGTCGAAGTGGGAGCGAGAGGCCTCGTTTCCACTTCGCTCTACAGTGTGGTTAAAGAACTAGGATTGCGCGGTAATGAACGGAAACGAACACTAAAAAAACTGGGAGAGGTAGCCGAAAGGGCATCTAGCTGGCCTTGGACGCAACGCAACAAAGTAGGGAACGGGCCTCGGTGAGCTGGTCCGGGTGTCTAGTGGAAAAGGGTTTCTCACCCCTTGAAAGTCCATCGTGTCCGAATTGTCTGCCAGTGATCCTCTGCCACCTGGTAATAAAAGTCCAACATGTGTCCGGTAAACCAATCGTAAGCTTGTCGCTCGGTCGTCCAGGCACGCTGACTGCTTTAATTAGGCTGCCGCGGCGGCTTCTTATCTCACAGTACTTTCTGCGAAACCACCAAGTCGTCTTGTCTCTGGCCGAAAGAAAAACACCATCCGGTAATCTCCTGCAGCAGGGAACCAGCCCTGAGCTTCATGAACTCAGGAGGGCCCACCTCCGAATGCGTCTAGGAATCGTGGGCCGAAACGCGTGTCGACGAGGATAATTTCTACTGATGACTTGTAGATCCCTGCTGTACTTGCTCCCTGTGAGTTTATTCCTAAATACCGTAAAACTGGGAGAAATGTGGCTTTGATGCCTACCAGCGGGAGTGAACCCGGACCACAAGGAGTTCGTCACCCGCTCATAGCGCGATCCGGTTTAGCCAACTACGCCAGAGAGCCAGGGATTTAAACAGGTAAAAACAAGGGTCTCATAATGTGATGCTTCTCTCTTAATGTAAGCAAGTAAAGGATGACTGTTATACAAAGTATAAATCGAGCCCACGCGCAACAACATCGTGTGTCCTGAGATACCTGCTGCGTAGGTAGCAGAGACTAGTGATGGATCGTACATCGGGTATGTGTGCAAAGATACGTGGGGAGCGATGAATGGATGGACAAATCGATTAATAGGCTGAGTGAATCGGGATGAATGGATGATATGATATATGGGTGGACGAGAGGATGGATGGGTAGATGGAAGGATGTATGGATGGATGGGTCTGAATTTATGTTAATCTGACATCGCGTGAACAAGGGTCTTGTGATGCAGTGCTTCTATCTGACTGTCAGATGTCACACAGAGACAGTAAGGATGAATGTTATACACAATATCTGTCGAGCCAGTGTGAACAAACACTTACCATCTCGGTAGTCAAAACGAGATATGTACACTGTATAGGAGGAGTGCGTTCAAACACTATCACGAAATTGTTCCACATTGGGACAGTGTATCCATGTGTAACAAGGAAAAATGAATGGATGAATTAAAGTTTGAATGAATAGGGAAGAGAAAAGAGAAGAAGGAGAGAGAGAGAGAGAGAGAGAGAGAGAGAGAGGAGAGGAGAGGGGGGGGGGGAAAAGGTAGGGGAGTAACAAAACAGAAAGGGGGAGAGGAAGGGGAGAAGAGTAAGGAGATGGAAGACCAGAGAAAACTTGGTATATACCTAGAGAAAGAGAGAGAGAGAGGGGGAGGGAGGGAAAGAGAGAGAGAGAGAGAAAGAGAGAGAGACAGAGAGAGAGAAGAAAGAGAAAGAGAGAGAGAAAGAGAGAGAGAGAAAGAGAGAGAGAGAGAGAGAGAGAGAGAGATAGAGAAAGAGAGAGAGAGAGAGAGAGAGAGAAGGGGGGGGACACTAGTATCCAAGTATATTATGCAGTTTCAGGCAACCAGCAACATAATCTGTCGAGACCTAGGGGATTATCCTCATAGAGAATATCATGACAGTCAGAAACTGACGTGCAACGGGGGATGGGTGTGGGTATAGTAGGACACATGTTGTCAGACGTCGATTCTTTCACCACTGCCTGCTGCGAGGTTTTGGCGGTGGTGATGACGATTGTGGTGGTAAAAGTTTTAGTGACGGTAATGGTTGTAAGAATGGCGGTAGTGACAGTTGTAGTGATGGGGATAGTTGTAGTGATGCGGTACTGATAGTTGTAGTGATTGTGACGGTGGTAATGATTTAGGTACTGACAGCTGAAGTGATGGTGGCGTGGTAGTAACGGTGATAGCGACAGTTGAAGTGACGGTGACAGTTGTAGTGATAGTGATAGTGACTGTCGTAGTGATGATGACAGTTGTAGTGATGGGTGAAAGCGACTGCTGTAGTGACGGTGACAGTTGTAGTGATGATGAAAGCGACTGTCGTAGTGATGATGACAGTTGTAGTGATGGTGATAGCGACTGTCGTAGTGATGATGACAGTTGTAGTGATGATGATAGTGACAGTAGTAGTGATGATGATGTGACAGATGTAGTGATGGTGATAGTGACAGTTGTAGTGATGGTGATAATGACATTTGTAGTGATAGTGATAGTGACAGTTGTAATGATGGTGATAGTTGTAGTGATGGTGATAGTGACAGTTGTAGTGATGGTGATAGTGACAGTTGTAGTGATGGTGATAGTGACAGTTGTAGTGATGGTGATAGTGACAGTTGTACTGATAGGTTTAGTGACAGTTGTAGTGGTGCTGATAGTGACAGTTGTAGTGATGGTGATAGTTGTAGTGATGGTGATAGTTGTAGTGATGGTGACAGTTGTAGTGATGGTGATAGTTGTAGTGATGGTGACAGTTGTAGTGATGGTGATAGTCACAGTGTAGTGACGGTGATAGTGACTGTTCTAATGATGGTGATACTAAATGCTATAGTGATGGTGATAATACAGTTGTTGTGATGGTAACCGCTGTTGTGACGTGATAGTGACAGATGTAGTGATGGTGGTAGTGAATGTTATAGTGACAGTAATAGTTAGTGTTGTAATGATGATTATAGTCATAGTTGTTGTGATGGTGGTAGTGACTGGTGTAGCAATGGTCACAGTTGTAGTGATGGTGATAGTGACTGTTGTAGTGATGGTGATGGTGACTGTTGTAGAGATGGGTGATAGTGACAGTTGTAGTGATGGTGATAGTGACTGTTGTAGTGATGGTGGTAGTGACTGTTGTAGTGATGGTGATAGTGACTGTCGTAGTGATGGGTGATAGTGACTATTGTAGTGATGGTGATAGTGACTGTTGTAGTGATGGTGATAGTGACTGTTGTAGTGATGGTGGTAGTGACTGTTATAGAGATGGGTGATAGTGACAGTTGTAGTGATGGTGATAGTGACTGTTGTAGTTATGGGTGATAGTGACTGTTGTAGTGATGGGTGATAGTGACTGTAGTAGTGATGGGTGATAGTGACTATTGTAGTGATGGTGATAGTGACTGTCGTAGTGATATTGATAGTGACTGTCGTAGTGATGGGTGATAGTGACTGTAGTAGTGATGGGTGATAGTGACTATTGTAGTGATTGTTGATAGTTACTATTGTAGTGATGGTGATAGTGACTGTTTGTCACATAACAGAATCAACTCCCCTACCACAATAGACCTGCCCACAGTCTGGACACCCCTATACTATTTGGTGTATCTATAATCTCGGATAGAATCTGTACGAGATAAGGAGACCTGCATTGCCTTCCTGAAACAGCATAGCATTCTGCACAGAACGAGACGTTGCAGAAACAACCATCAGATAGTTGGTGTATTATCGCTGTCGGAAAGACACACGACCATTTGCCGGTGTCGAAAGTCCACCTGTCGTCTGTACATACCCTTACGGCAAATTGCGGACCTATTTCCGGTGCCTATAGCGCCACCGCCAAGAGTATCCCCCGCGCCGCGCGCAGCGGGGCTAAACTGGATGGCTGGGACTCACGAACAGCAGCCACCGGGGGATAATCTCGGTGGTGGCGGTATATTCGCCGGAAAGAGGTCCGCAATTTACATGTGACTGAGGCCCTGGCAGGGTATATTTTCGCCTCGATAATTTGGGACCGTTATTCGGAGGATAGCGTTAAGAAGGGGCAGCGATATTCTAGGAAAGCATGACGTGACATACGCGTCGCTAGGAGCTAACGTAACCAAAATAAACTCAGCGTTTGGAAAAGCTTTTGTGGTCCATTCTTCTATATTCTTTAATATCCATCTTATCTACTTTACTTTTCCTACTGGTGAGGTGGGAATATATAGAGGGATGGGGACAGATAGGGATCTGACTGGTTTTCGTGGCGAAACACGATTCAGAGACTGTTCGAATCACTAGAAACGTCTGACTGACTCTGACTCACTCTGAGGAACTGTAGGGACTCCCGAGGTGTACGAAGTCAACCTTAATGGTGTAGACTAGCCCACATTTACCTCTGAGCATTTATGGAGAGTGAGAGGAGTGTGATTAGCGGGGTACTTTAGGTGAGGTTTGCTCATGTGTGTTGCTGTTTGCAGGATGTTGGAAGATCCAGGGTATGTCCGTGTGCTAGTCCGGTTCTCCAGCTAACTATTAACTGGAGAGAAACCAACAGTATTGACCTGCCATTGTCCGCTATACCAGGCCATTTGTGAAGTCAACGCCAACAGGTCCCTTTGAAGTCTTGAAGGAACACTTAAGCAGCCAGAACCCGACTGTAATCTATCTCTACTCTCCAAGCGATGATGATTCCAGAAATGGCAGTAGCAACCTATGGAGACCCATTCTCTATGCTCAACTCATTGAGAACATTTTGAGCTATCGTTCTGTTTCTCTTTTTTCTGCATTTCGTCTTCCTTTATCACAGTGACATTATTACATTATGTTTCTTATTCACAGGATTTCTTATTCTTAGAAGAAAGTTGTCTTGATGGAATCATTTGTCATAGTCAAAAGTGTATTCATGTCTTGTCAGACCTACTGCTGTTTATATACAGTAGAACCTCGCTTAACGAGCACCTCTCATAACGAGTAATTCGCATAACGAGCAAAACAAATTGTAAAAAAATGACTTGCTTAATGAGCGACGCTTCGCATAACGAGTGGCGAGGAGAGGGTAAGTCCCGGATTGTGCGTTTGTAACATCAGTCTGTGTTTAGCACTCGTTCCAGTAGCATCGTAGTGTCGCTTGTGGTCACACATTTTCTCAAACTTGAGTTTTAATTGTGATATATGTACATGAATTCTCCAGGCCTACAAGATGACCTCCCTGAAAAAATGTAAGTTCATCAAGATCAAGTTTCTGCCTCCCAACATCACTCCATTACTCCAGCCCATGGACCAGCAAGTTATTTCTAACTTTAAGAAGCTCTACACTAAAGCACTCTTCTAGCATTGTTTTCAGGTGACTGAAGGGACCAACCTCACTCTCAAAGAGTTTTGGAAAAATCACTTCCACATCGTTGCCTGCCTCAAGATAATCGTCAAGGCGGGGAAGGGGTTACCAAGAAAACCCTAACTTCAGCTTGGAAGAAGCTTTGGCCAGAGAGAGTTGTCGATTTGTGATTTTGAGGTGTTCGAGACAGTACCTGTGGAACCTGTAGTCAACGAGATTGTGTCTTTGGCTGCTATCATAGGATTGTAGGTGGATAACAGTGATATTGAAGAGCTTGTGGAAGAGCACAGCCAAGAGCTGACCACCGAAGAGCTTAGTGTTTCACAGCAAGAGCTTTTGGAGGACAGTTTGTCAAAGGAGGAGGAGGTAACAAAAAAGCAACAATCTTCTGGCCAAATAGGAGAAATGCTGATAGCATGGGAAACTGTTGCATCTTAATTAAGAAGCATCGCCATCATAAGGAAGTGGCTATGCGCGATGCAAATTTATTTAATGATAATGCCGTGTCGCATTTTCGTCAAATTTTGGAGCGTCGGCAAAAACAAATGTCTCCGGGCATATTTCTAGTTAAAAAAAAATAATAATTAGCTATTTATCATAATTATTTCGACTTTTTTTTTCTGCAAATCGAATTCGCATTCCAGGTGGGCTAGTTCCGCGTTTGAAGAAAAGATGAAGATGATTCACTCTCCTTAACAATATGTATATAATTTTCTTCGAATAAACGGTATACAAAGAATTGTGCGAGTATTTTTTTCGACATGGAACGCATTATCGTGTTTTACATAAATTTATATGAGGAAAATTGTTTCGCACAATGAGTATTTCGCTTACCGAGTATGATTCTGGAACGAATTATGCTCGTTAAGCGAGGTTCCACTGCATTCGACTGTGTTAACATTGTTTACCAGTCTGGAGGCAAAATTAGTAATGAGGCTGTCTGGCCGAGTTGCACCCAAGAGTTTGTATTAACCAGGTGGAATCAGAGCTCGAGTCACTTCATTCCTGAAATAGGCTGAATGTATGTTTGAACCGAGGACTTAGCCTCTAGCCAAACGAGAGCCAACATTTAGAACACCTCTATCTCAGAGCACCTGATGATTTTGGGACAGTAATCCGAAAGTAAAGGTGCGTGACGAAACTGCCATACGACACTGTTGTAGTGATGGGTGATAGTGACTATTGTAATGATGGGTATTAGTGACTGTAATAGTGATGGGTGATAGTGACTATAGTAGTGATGGTGATAGTTGTAGTGATGGGTGATAGTAACTGTCGCAGTGATGGGTGATCGTGACTGTAGTAGTGATGGTTTATAGTGACTGTAGTAGTGATGGGTGATAGTGACTATATTAGTAATGGGTGATAGTAACTGTATTAGTGATGGGTGATATTGACTCTAGCAGTAATGGGTGATAGTGACTATATTAGTAATGGGTGATAGTAACTGTATTAGTGATGGGTGATATTGACTCTAGCAGTAATGGGTGATAGTGACTGTTGTAGTTATGGGTGATAGTGACTGTTGTAGTGATGGGTAATAGTGACTGTTGTAGTGTGGGTGATAGTGACTGTTGTAGTGAAGAGTGATAGTGACTGTTTTAGTGATCGGTTATAGTGACTGTAGTAGTGATGGGTGATAGTGACTGTTGTAGTGATGGGTGATAGTGACTGTTGTAGTGATGGGTGATAGTGACTGTCGTAGTGATGGGTGATAGTGACTGTCGTAGTGATAGGTGATAGTGACTGTCGTAGTGATGGGTGATAGTGACTGTTGTAGTGAAGATGACAGTTGTAATGATGGTGATATTTGTAGTGATGGTGATAGTTGTAGTGATAGTGATAGTTGTAGTGAAGGTGATAGTGAAAGTTGTACGTATGTTGATAGTGACTGTTGTAGTGATGATGACAGTTGTAGTAAAGGTCATAGTGAATGTTGTATTGATGGTGATTGTGACAGTTTTAGTGATGGTGATAGTGACAGTTGTAGTAATGGTGACAGTTGTACTAATGGAGATAGTGACAGTTGTAGTGATGGTGACAGTTGTAGTGATGGTGATAGTGACTGTTCTAGTGATTATGACAGTTGTAGGTATTATGGTAGGGACAGTTTTAGGGATGGTGATAGTGACAGTTGTAGTGACAGTTGTAGTGATAGTGATAGTGACAGTTGTAGTCATGGTGATAGTGACAGTTGTAATGATGCTGATTGTGAGAGATGTAGTGGTGGTGATAGTGACAGTTGTAGTCATAGTGATAGTGACATTTGTAGTAATAGTGATAGTGACAAATGTAATGATGGTGATAGTGAGAGTTGTAGTGATGGTGATAGTGACAGTTGTAATGATGGTGATAGTGACAGTTGTAGTGGTGTTGATAGTGACAGTTATAGTGATAGTGACAGTTGTTGTGATAGTGATAGTTGTAGTGGTGGTGATAGTGACAGTTGTAGTGATGGTGATAGTTGTAGTGGTGGTGATAGTGACAGTTGTAGTGATGGTAATAGTTGTAGTGGTGGTGATAGTGACAGTTGTAGTGATGGTGATAGTGACAGTTGTGGTGATGGCGATAGTGACAGTTATAGTGATAGTGAGTTATAATGAAAGTGACAGTTGTAGTGATGGAGATAGTGACAGTTGTAGTGGTGATGATATTGACAGTAGTAGTTATAGTGATGGTGACAGTTGTAGTGGTGGTGATAGTGACAGTTGTAGTGATGGTGATTGTTGTAGTAATGGTGATAGTGAAAGTTGTACTGATGGTGATAGTGGCAGTTGTATTGATGATTATAGTGACAGCTGTAGTGATGGTGATAGTCACAGTGTAGTGACGGTGATAGTGACTGTTCTACTGATGGTATTGATGATTATAGTGACAGCTGTAGTGATGGTGATAGTCACAGTGTAGTGACGGTGATAGTGACTGTTCTACTGATGGTATTGATGATTATAGTGACAGCTGTAGTGATGGTTATAGTGACTGTTGTAGTGATAAGTGATAGTGACTGTCGTAGTGATGGGTGATATTGACTGCTGTATTGATGGTGATAGTCACAGTGAGGACGGTGATAGTGACTGTTGTACTGATTAAGATGACAGCTTTAGTGATGGTGATAGTCACAGTAGTGATGGCGATAGTGACTGTTTAGTGATGGTATTGATGATAGAATAGTGATGTAGTGATGGTGATAGTGACTCGTAGTGATGATGATAGGATGTAGTGATGGGATGATATAGTGACTGTTGTAGTGATGGTGATAGTGACAGTTGTAGTGATAGTGATAGGGATGTGTACTGAGTAGTGACGTAGTGATGGTATTATAGTGACAGTTGTAGTGATGGTGATAGTGACTGTCGTAGCGATAGCGATAGTTACTGTCGTAGTGACGATGATAGTTGTAGTGATGGGTGATAGTGACTGTTGTAGTGATGGGTGATAGTGCCTATTGTATTGATGGGTGATAGTTACTGCCGTAGTAATGATGACAGCTGTAGTGATGGGTGATAGTGACTGTCGTAGTAATGATGACAGCTGTATAATGGGTGTCGTAGTGAAAATGTAGTGATGGGTGATAGTGACTGTCGTAGTAATGATGAGTGATGGGTGATAGTGACTGTCGTAGTAATGATGACAGCTGTAGTGATGGGTGATAGTGACTGTCGTAGTGATGGGTGATAGTGACTGTGTACTGATGGTATAGTGACTGTCGATAGTGACAGCTGTAGTGATGGGTGATAGTGACTGTTGTAGTGATGGGTGATAGTGACTGTCGTAGTAATGATGACAGCTGTAGTGATGGGTGATAGTGACTGTCGTAGTGATGGGTGATAGTGACTGTCGTAGTAATGATGACAGCTGTAGTGATGGGTGATAGTGACTGTCGTAGTAATGATGACAGCTGTAGTGATGGGTGATAGTGACTGCCGTAGTAATGATGACAGCTGTAGTGATGGGTGATAGTGACTGTCGTAGTGATATGGTGATAGTGACTGTAGTGATGGGTGATAGTGACTGTCGTAGTGATGGGTGATAGTGACTGGTCGTGAGTAATGACAGTTGTAGTGATGGGTGATTAGTTACTGATGGGTGTCGTAATGATGACAGCTGTAGTGATGGGGCTGATAGTGATGTCGTGATAGATGACTGCCGTAGTGATGGGTGATAGTGACTGTCGTAGTGATGGGTGATAGTGACTGTCGTAGTAGTGAAGCTGTGATGGGTGATAGTGACTGTTGTAGTGATGGGTGATAGTGACTGTCGTAGTAATGATGACAGCTGTAGTGATGGGTGATAGTGACTGTCGTAGTGATGGGTGATAGTGACTGTCGTAGTAATGATGACAGTGTGGTGAGTGACTGGTAGTGATAGTGACTGTCGTAGTGATGGGTGATAGTGACTGTCGTAGTAATGATGACAGCTGTAGTGATGGGTGATAGTGACTGTCGTAGTAATGATGACAGCTGTAGTGATGGGTGATAGTGACTGTCGTAGTAATGATGACAGCTGTAGTGATGGGTGATAGTGACTGTCGTAGTGATGATGACAGCTGTAGTGATGGGTGATAGTGACTGTCGTAGTAATGATGACAGCTGTAGTGATGGGTGATAGTGACTGTCGTAGTAATGATGACAGTTGTAGTGATGGGTGATAGTGACTGTCGTAGTGATGGGTGATAGTGACTGTCGTAGTGATGGGTGATAGTGACTGTCGTAGTGATGGGTGATAGTGACTGTCGTAGTAATGATGACAGCTGTAGTGATGGGTGATAGTGACTGTCGTAGTGATGGGTGATAGTGACTGGGTAGTAATAGTGACTGTCGTAGTATGATGACTGTCGTAGTGATGGGTGATAGTGACTGTCGTAGTAGTGATGACAGTTGTATAGTGATGGGTGATAGTGACTGTCGTAGTAATGATGACAGCGTAGTATGTGATGTCTGTAGTGATAGTGACTGTCGTAGTAATGACAGTTGTAGTGATGGGTGATAGTAGTGACGGTTGTAGTGATGGTGTGATAGTGAGGTGGTAGTGACTGGTGATAGTGGACTGTGTGTAGTGAGGGTGACAAGTTGTAGTGAGGTGGTGGACGATAGTGACTGCGTGATTGATGATGACGATAGGGTGGTGATGCGGTGATTGTGACTGATGATGGTAGTGACTGTTGTAGTGGAGGAGTATAGTGGACGGTGATGATGATTGTGCCGAAATAGTCAGATGATGTTGACAGTCTGGCTTGATGTGTATGACCATTGTAGTGACTAGTGTATGACTTACGTATGATTCCGTGATAGTCCTGAAGTGAGGTGACCAGAGTGTGTTGCAGACGGTTGTAGTGATGTTGATAGTGTCTGTTGTAATAGGGTGACGTTGTCGTGATGGTGGTAGTGACTGAAATGATGACGCTAGTGACGGTGACATGATTGTGACACGTGACACACATGTGACAGGTAGCAGTGACCGTTGCACACTGCACAACAATTTGAGTACTAGTGAAAGAAAACACGGATGACGATAGTAGAAATGTCGTGAAGAGACCATGATGCACTGGAAACGAGAGCTTTCATAGAAGAAGAAAAAAAAGAGAATGAAGAGAAAGAAGAAAGAAGAAAGAAAAGAAGAAAAGCGTGTGAGAAAAGAAGAAGAACGAATGAAGAAGAAGAAGAAGACAGAAGAAAGAAAGAAAGACCACACAAGAAAGACCAGAAAGAGAATGAAAGAAAGACAGAAAGTAAGAGGGTGAAAGAAAAAGAAGAAAAGAAAGAAAAAGGAGAAGAAAGAAAGAAAGAAAAGAAAAGAAAGAAAGAAGAAGAAAGAAGAAAGAAAAGAAAAGAAAGAGAAAGAAAGAAAAGACCAAGAAAGAAAGAAAGAAAGAAGAGAAAGAAAGAAAGAAAGAAAAGAAAGTAGAAAGAAAGAAAAGAAGAAAGAAAGAAAGTAAAGAAAAGAAAGAAGGAAAGAAAGAAGTCAAGAAAGAAGAAAGAACAAAGAAGAAAGAAAGACAGAAAGAAAGAAAGAAAGAAGAAAAAGAAAGAAAGAAAAAAAGAAAGAAAGAAAAAAGAAAGAAAAAAAGAACCAAAGAAATAGAAAGAAAGATAAAGAATAAAGAAAGAAAGAAGGAAAGAAAAGAAATCGAAAAAAGAAAGAAAAGAAAGAAAAAAGAAAGAAAGAAAAGAAAGAAAGAAAAGAAAAAAGAAAGAAAGAAAAAGAGAAGAAAGAAAGAAAGAAAGAAAGAAAAGAAAGAAGAAAGAAAGAAAGAACGAAAGAAAAGAAAGAAAGAAGACAGAAAGAAAGAAGAAAAGAAAAGAAAGAAAGAAAGAAAGAAAGATAAGAAAGAAAAAGAAGAAAGAAAGGAAAAGAAAAGAAAGAAAGAAAGAAAGAAAGAAATGAAGGAAAAGAAAGAAGACAGAAAGAAGAAAGAAAGAAAGAAAGAAAAGAAAGAAAGGAAAGAAGAAAGAAGAAAGAAAGAAAGAAAGAAGAAGACAGAAAGAAAGAAGAGAAGAAGAAAGAAAAAAGAAGAAGAAAACGAAAGAAGAAGAAGAAAAGAAGAAAGAAAGAAAGAAAGAAAGAAAGAAAGAAAAAGAAAAAGAAAGAAAGAAAGAAAGAAAGAAGAAAAAGAAAGAAGAAGAAAGAAAAGAAAGAAAGAAGAAGAAAGAAAGAAAGAAAAGAAGAAGAAGAAAGAAAGAAAAGAAAGAAGAAGAAAGAAAGAAAGAAAGAAAGAAAGAAAGAAAAGAAAGAAAAGAAGAAAGAAAGAAAGAAAGAAGAAAAGAAGAAGAAAGAAAGAAGAAGTAAGAAAGTAAGACAGCAAAAGAAAGAAGAAAAGAAAGAAAGATAGAAAAATGAAGAAGAAAGCAAAAGAAAGAAAGAAGAAGAGAAGAAAGAAAGAAAGCGAAAGAAAGAAAGAAGAAAGAAAGAAAGAAAGAAAAGAAGAAAGAAAGAAAGACAAGAAAGAAAAGAAGAAAGAAAGAAAGAAAGAAAAGAGAAAGAAAGAAAAGAAAGAGAAAAGAAATAAAGAAAAAAGAAGAGGAAGAAAAGAAGAAAAGAAAGAAATAAAGAAGAAAAAAAAGAAAAAAAGAAAGACAGAAAGACAGAACAGACAGAAAGAAAGAAAGAAAGAAAGAAGAAAGAAAAGAAGAAGAAAGAAAGAAGAAAAGAAAGAAAGAAAAGAAAGAAAGAAAGAAAAGAAAGATCAAGAAAGATAAGAAAGAAAGAAAGACAAGAAAGAAAAGAAAGAAGAAAGAAAGAAGAAAAACGAAAGAAAGAAAGAAATGAAGAAAGAAAAGAAAAGGAAGAAAAGAAAGAAAGAAAAGGGAAGTGTCAATTTAGAAGTGAAAAGGAATAAGAGAGGAAGCATACTATTTACTATCAAGTGACTATCTCACCTGCACAGAAGCTGCTGGGACAAGTGGTGGGTGGAATCAGGAGGTAAACATAGAATCCGTTACATTTCTTGACCAATATATTCATCTTTTCATCACAACATGATCCTTGGGGGTCATCGTTCATCTTGGCACACGCTACCATGTTGACGATTTCTGAGGAGAGGAATTATCTATGCGTTAACAGAAAGGTTTTATTTACAGCGTTTGGTCAAAGAGCGAGGTCTACAAATTGCACATTATTACACTGCTCTTTACGCAGAGTGGTGTTACCTTCATCTTTGTCCCGTGCTATGCAGGCTGGCAACAGAAGAGCTGATAGACTGGCCTGCTCTGCTTTAATTGTTTATGGTCGTTCTATAAATGGCGACGTCGTTGTTAATGCTTTTAGAGAAATAGTAGGATCAGAAGGTGCTGGAATCAGCGTGTCCGCATCGCCAGTCACGACAGGCACACGGAATAAACGTGAAGTCTTGTCAATCACTGGACGCTGGTATCTTGTCGACGCATATTATCAGAACAATACTACCAGCACCAAAAGCCTCTGTACCATGTGTGGAAGCGTGTGGGATCACTGGTACTATGAAAAGTACAAAATGAACAAAATTCTCTATAGAACGGCTTTATGCCAAAACCAGTAGTGATATCACACTAAACGGGCAAATAGGGAAGCTCGTAACAGAAGGAGTCCGACATGGCTGCCTCCTCTCCAAAACATTGTTCTCAGACCAAAAATTATGACTGACACCCAAGAGAAACATATTAGTATAAAAGGACAAGTCATGCAAAACTTAAGGTTTGCAGGTGACATCGACGGATTTGGCAGGACAAAAACAAGAGCTAGTCGAACTCATAAACCTACCGGAGGAAACATCGACCATGTACGGCATGGAAATAAATGCGGAAAATACTAAAATAATGACTAATAATCCAGTTGCCACAACCACACCAATTTATGTTAAAGATCACAAATTATAAACAGTAAATCATTTCACATTTTAAAGATCCATTTTGAGTAACCTCGGGTCCAGACCAGAAATCATTCCAGGATTGCACAGAGAAGATTATTTCTTGCCAAACAACAAATATTATAGAGATCCAAAAACATTTCATGTAAAACAAAGCTCCGACAGCTCAGAGCATTAATTACTAGTAAGTTTATATATATATGTCTGTGAAACGTTTACCTTACCAGGTAAACTCGAAGAAAAAGATACAAGCACTGGAAATGGGATCTTTAAGAAGAATTATTGACACATCATACAGAGACCATATCACAAAGGATGGGGTTGGCCGTGTAATTACTCAGCACACTGGTAACTATGAACCTCCTTTAACTACAGTGAAAAGACAGGAACTGCAATAGTTTTTTTTTAATCAGTTCTACAGGGCTCAGTAGGAGGGAAGAGGAGAAGATGCAGACCAAGAAAGACTAGGATATAGAACGACTGACTGGACTTTGACCAACGAAAGTACTGCTACCTAAACTGCCATAGCACCCTCAGTGAGATAGTAGCGCCCCTATTGAAAAGACCAATACGCTCACTCGGCTAACACTTTAGCCATAATTAATTGTAGTCACCTTATTACACAAATTTACAAAAAAAAAAATGGTATTTTCAGTTATTTAGGGACAAATTTCTGAACATCCTCCTTTGGACTTTGGACTTATTCTAGAACTTGAACTTTGCATGCACATCCTGTTAAACAGATCTGATTTATTTGTATGCAGACACTATGGGCAGAACTAATCCGATAGTTTCAAATACTGGTCTAATCAAATGTGCATCTCTGAGTTCTGGGTGGATATGCCTCCGGTTTTATATGGTTTGAAGCTATCACAGGTCTCATCATTAACTGCATATAAAATTGTCAGCCTACATGTGATTTGTCGTGGTATGGGACGTCGCAGCTCGACCCAGCCTAAAATGGGTACCAGGATGGGCTGTCCTGGGAAAGTAAAGACAGCCGGCGTAATGCTGACCACATTACCCACAGAGTGCTGATGGTCTGTAAAAATATGGGATGCTCTGCCCATATGCCCGATGCGCCGAAAGGCGTGAAAAGGGATCTTTACTTTACTTTACTTACTTTATTTAATCACCCATCCTCTTTATCTTCACCTCTTCCCTTATGAGACCAGAGGCTCTTGCCGCAACTAGTAATGTAACACCAGTATTTAACTATTTGGCAAACAAAGTGTTCTTTTCCAGATATTGCCTACAAAATTCCCTGTAGTCGTTCTTATGTAGCCCTGGTACAGGGGCGCCAACGCAAGGGAAACCGTTAAGGGGGTAGTCTGGTCTGAAATGTGAAAAAAATGGGTACCGTTTTGTTTTTGATGAATAACCAACTAAATATTAAAATATCTTCTTGAAATTTGGTGAGCTTATGCTTGATACATGACAGTTCACTAATATGCCATTTGTTTTTTTTTGCAAACGTGTTTAAACGTGCCAAATTATTATTAAATTGAAAAAAATGTAAGAGTAAAAAAAAAAATTTGATGTTAGTCTTATACAGATATTTTCTAAACTAACCTAACAGGAGTCCTGAATTTTGGAGTCAGAGTAGTTCACTGCTACAGTTAGATTCCCTACCTCTAGTTTGTTTGTACTAGCAATAGTTTTGAAGTTATGAAGTTGTAAAATTTGGGCTAAAATGACTAGCAAATTATGAAATTAAAATACTCATAATTCAACTTGTATCAAATATTTCTCAAAGCTGGTGGTAGGAATCATAGCTGTTATTGTTTTAAAGCTGTGTACCAAAGTTGAATAATTTATCTCCAATAGTTTAGAAAAAAACACCAAAAAGTTAGTCACACCCCCTAAATTTTGGCAAAGTTTTCGGACAGTTTTGAGAGAGAAAAATGGTACTTACTCGGCTTAAATGAGCTAATGTCCTCCAGGTAAGTATGGTAATCCTTCCTGGTGGGCCTGCTTCTCATCCCTAGTAAGTCTACTCCGCCTCCTAGCTATTCTGGCTGCATGTGATGCTGCTTTGGCTCGCCGTTGAGCATTTTTTATTCGTCGCATATCCTTTTGCAGAAAACAGTCTTTAGCAAACTGTCCAACCATGAGCTGCAGTTCTCTCATAATATCCAAGAATGTCTTAGCACCATCATTGAATACACTCACTGCTATTGAAACAGCTGTTTTCACTGTAGTCAGTCCATGAGCTTTTTTTTTAGGGCAATATTTCCAGATGAGGCTGTTAGCACTTTCATTTGCGTTCTGTGTATAACCTTCTAAACACCTACGTAAAAGATCTGGATGTGCAAGATCCCTAAAGATGGGTTTTATGGTATCCATAACTGCTGTGGGCAAGCTAGATTTATGTTTTTAAGAATCTAACTTGTTTTCTAATTCAGCCTTCTTGTAAGGACACACAGGTGAGCACATACTGTGTTGAGGATTTCCATCAGTTGAAAGTCTGTGAAAATAGACTGCCCACACATGTTGTCTCATCACAGTAAGATTGTTTTTATTTCTACGAATTGCATTCCCATACATTGTTTGAATCTGATCAATTTGTTTATCCGTAAGCCTTCCTTTTCCCATCTAAGCCTTTTCCGTCTTCTAACTTTCTTCCTTTCATGCTTTTTTTTTAAGTTGCGGAGACGGGTGCCCATTCTTTTTTGTACGTGTCCCACACATTCTATTTTATCAATCGGTTATATCTCCATATGGTTTGGAATTAACTACTGCTTTGTATGTGTTTGTATCTCCATCGCCTATAAACCTGGTATACCTAAGATTATAATTTGTCACAGACCTTGCAAAAATATCTTTGATTATTTCTGCCTCCACCGATCCCGAAGAACCCTTATGTGTGAGTGTACATATGTCCTTGTGTTCTGTAGCCCATCTAATATACCTCGTCGTACTTTTATCCCTTCTTTTCCAAACGTCACAAGACTTGCATTGCTTTACATCTTGTCCCTGTATCAAGTATTTTGCCTGTTTGACAACCAATAGTTGTGGCAACTCCTATCACTGATGAGTGTCCTGGGGTCATCCAAGTCCCATCTGATGACACATCAATATGACGGATGTCATCCATCTGTTCCTTATTTTCTAAACATTCAGCTAAAGAAAATTCATTAATGGCTGCATTTCTCATAGATGTAGTCTGTACCTCTGTTGCTGCAGTCTCTATTTTTCTTATTAATAAGACTATATGTGCTTTTTGCTGACAGGTGGTGGTAAGTCCATAATTCCGCAAAAATGTCTGCAATTCAGATCTGTCGCAGCCAATAGTTCGCATTGCAAAAACAGCACGCTGATTTATACTACTCACTGTCCTTTTACCTACAATGATTTGTTCGCATGTAGGGAAAGCCTTTTGTCCAGAACATCTTTCATTGTTGCAGTGAAAATGCAAGTTTACTTCCTAAACCTTGCCTCTGAATTTCAACTAATCTGACACTTTCATGACAACTTGCACACACTAATTGTGATGAAATATTCTCACACAAAATGTACATATCAATAATTCTGTTGCCACTGGGAACAAGTTCAGATAAATGACCATTTTCACTTTCATTGTCACTATTAAAGTCATCAGAACACTCTTGTTTATCCTCTAGATCTTCATTCATAATGCTGTCCATAAACAGTTTATTTTCTGATGTAGTGGGCGTGGCACTAAGAGATTCTGAAATCAGATTATTTCTTGTCTTCAGAAACTCGGCAAGCGTCAGCTGGTGAAACACGAGGCAATTCAATGTCTACCACCAGTTTAGGTTGCTTTGAAGCAGAAGTAAACTGATTTCCTCTAAATTTCCTTTTCTTTGCAACTTTACTCCTCTGCTTTGGAAATGATGGCATAATTCTAAACTAAGTATTGACACAAATAACTCGATAATAACTCACAAATCATAAAATTTCCAGCTTCTGTCAACGGAAATGCTTTGATGCAAGTAAGGGGAGAAACTCTTAAAATAAGACCGAAGAAAAGGGGAGTGATTCATTGTTTTGGATTAAAAAGAACCATATAAAGAAAAAAAACTTTTTTATAGAAATTTTTGTCAAAATTGTCTCCTTGAGCTACCCACACACACCCACTTGTAATCAAATTATCTCAGGTTCTATTGATCGGATTTT